CTCAGCTCTGAAAGGGTTCGGCGGGCTTTCAGCAGTGAAATGCGCAGAGCCGGGTGGTTTTAAAACCCACGGCTAACCGGGATGTATCACCGATCCTCGGAAACGCTGTGGAAAAGCAGTAAGACAGAGTGGTCCCAGGAGTTCCTTCGTGGTGACACGGCCAGCCGCGTCCAGGGGTGGCACAGTGGCACCAATGCTGCAGCATTTTCAGAGCATGGCTTTGGGGAGAGAAGCGCCTTCAGTTTGTGCATCAGGAAGAGGAACGGGAGGGGCACAAGACATGAGCGGCAACAAATTCCCTTCTTCAGACTCCTGTAATTTTTCCACCTCTTTGAGGCTGTTGAAGTCTACACACAGGATTACAGCTTGGTATATCCTCATTAGAAGAAGAGAAGTAGGCTCCTTTTTCAGATTCAGAGGTTGCTTTTCCCCATCTTTGACTTTTTCATTTCTTGTCTAATTTGCTTTGTCTAACTTGCTAACTGTTTGCAGGAGTGGTACATCAAGCAGCATTGAGTGCTCTGTTCCCCACAGATTCCCCACAGCCCTAAGTGAACTGGGCTGTTTCTTGTGCTCACACCAAGCAAGTGGCCTGGCTGTCCCTGCAAGGTCTTTGTTATCACTGCCCTCCCCCGGAGCACCCTGTGAAGAGGCAGGTCAGGGTCAGGCCTTGTGTCCATGTCCATGGGTTGGACCAACAAGGACTGTGGAGCAGCACGGCAGGAACAAAGAGCCAGGGCCTCAGCTCCAGGGCAGCTTCCAGGGGGGAGCAGGGAGCCCCTGCTGAGGCTCCTGCCAGCATCTGCGCCAAGTGAGCTCCATTCACAACAGCCCAAGGTCAGACAGCTGCTTATCAGCCCTGGCCCCCAGCCAAGGCAGCCTGGGCCCCCGCGCGGGGGGATGCGCTCAGCCCCCCCTTGCTGTCTGCTCTTTCATGCTTGGGAGCAGGCACTTGTCACGAAATGCCAGCTGTCACTAACAGGCACCACATAATGCTGCCTCTCTGGTCTAGGTGCCCAGGTGACTGCAGGATCTGGGGGGTTGCTTTGAGCTTCTCTTGGCACCTGCCCCAATGACTGGGAACTGGAATAATTCCAGTTCCCGGCTGTGGCAAGTTTTGGGGACTTTCCTGGTTATCTTGCATCTTTGGGGACCTGCAGGGTGTTGCAGCAGTGATGGCAGGAGCCATGTCAAGTGTCCTGAGAGAGTGCTGGAGTTCGGCTGATGAGCAGAGGCACATGATCCATGTTTGCTCTTGAATAGATTGACGGTTACAGTCAACACAGACTCCTCCTCACCCACCCCAGGGCACAGCGAGCCACAGTTCCTGAAGAAGAGGAATTTCCCTTCAGGGTGACCTCTAGGGAGGGGCCACATCTCTGCTGCCACTTTTGACCTCAAACTGGCACCTTCACTCCTCTGTCTGGTCCCAGGAGTTACTCTGAAATAGGGGAATTAACTTCTGGGGCCCTGCCCTCTCCAGAGAAGCAGAGGTTAGGCCTTTCCCTTCCTTGATGAGCCAGTTTTAAGGGCAGAGAATGAACTTCCTTGTTGGCCCAGAGCTAAGGCCTGTGCCTGGACACACTCTGTGCAGCCTACTCAGCTGGGATCCAGTTGATCCAGTGCCAGAAGCTCCAGGGGGACCAAATGGGTTCAGAGGACCCCTTTTGGGCAGTGTGACAAGTACCAGTTGCCCTACATGGTCAAAAAAATTCCTGTTTAACAGCAAGAACAGTAAGTAATCACAAAAGCCACAAAACCACATTTTCTGGCCTCCTGCTTACATCATGTACCCACTCTTGGTACTGAACTCTCACCCCTGTCCAGGGGGCTGGCACTTGGCTCCTTGCTTTTCCCCTGCCTCTTCCACAGCTCCCTGCCTGCCTGGATCACTCTCCATTAGTGCTTTCATTTCCCAGGTCAGGTCTGGCCATCTGTGTCCTCAGCTCAGTTTCATCCAGAGTAAATATGTCTTCCAGAGGTGACAGATGTGGCAGGAACCCAAAAGGAGCCAGGCTGCCAGTCCTCAAAGGCAGGAAAGCTGACTGATAACTGAGATGATGGTGTAGGTCAGCAAGAGCTTAGAGTCAGTCAGTGCTGCGTTGAACAGCAGCTGATACACAGCCACAGGCTTTGAGCAACAGGCAACCTGACTCCAAACCCCTGTAAGAGCTGTTCTGTAACTGTGGCCATGGCAGACTGCAACCCCACATCCCTGCAAGACTGAAAACCCCTGGATTTGTTCAACTGCAACATCCCTCCAAAAAAGGGAACTGCAAATGAGCAACTCATCAACAGGCCAGAAAATTAAAACCTCTCTGGCAGCCCTACGGCTGCAGTTGAGAACTTCCTGCTCTGTTCAACCCAGTCACCCTGCAGGGGGAGGACAAACACCCAGGAGAGGAAGGAGGGAAGGGTGGGGTGGGTGACACCACTGGGCTTGTCAGACAATTCACTCTGGATGTCTGTGGCTGAAGAGGAAGGACAAGGACCAGAGGTACAGGGCACTCCTACGGCTGGGTCTGTTTCTCCTTTGCTGCAGGAAAAGCAATCAGAAACTGTCCAAAAAAA